GGCAAGTCAACAAGCAATAGGCAAAGGATCTTTTTAACTCCTAGAGTTAAGTCTCAAGTGAAACGTTTTCCGTTTCAAAACCTAGAACTCTCAAAGAAATGTACCACGTACATTTTCTTCTTTTTAAAGATTTTGAAAAGACCTAACATCTAGTCTTAAGTACCAAATGCTGACCCCTTACTCAGTATTTACAAAAGACTGTAGTAACGGATCATTTCAGAAAGTGAATCGCATATGATGGCATTTGTATCCCAATGGATGAAGCTGCTTTTCAGCAAACAACAGAATACTGAATATGAAGAAACCTTAGAAAGTATCTAATCAGACTTCATTTTATGGGAGAGAAAATTGAAGACAGGGAAATTAACTGACTTGCCCAAGGTCACTGCCAATAAGTAGCAGATTAACTACTTCCTTTCCAAATGAGATATAATGAACTAATAATAAAGCCTTACAAGTTTGGTGCATTCTTCTACTTGGAAACCACTATAAGATTTTTGAAAATTATTGTTAAAACCCATGCAAAGGCTCTGAAAACAAATGGAAGGTCCTGGTGGGAATAACAGAACCTGTAGAAAAAGGAGCAAGTTTAGGTCCCCAAAGCATAAGTATATTCATCTGGTGTATAACAATAATAGCAGTTAACACTCACCAATACCATAAGGGTTTCACACACAGTAACCTCAAAACCAGACAAGACATAGATTGTATTACTACTGACACTTCAGGGATGGGGAACCAGAGCACAGAAAGGTTAGGAAATATACCCAGGGCCACAGCTAGAAAGGGGCAGCCGCAACTGAATCCCTGGCAACATGTCTCCACTTTCAGTTCTAAGACTATTACGATCCTTAATCGTTTCATAATACAAAGGACAAAAAGTAAACTTGACAATTTCCTGGATGACAGCTATACTCCAAAAAGATGACACTTTAAAACTTTTGGGAAGACTTAAAAAGGCTGACAAATATTTAACTATAAACTTATCAATTTCAACAGAACTGCTGATAAAGTAGTACCATTGAAGGTCTAAATCTTTTTCACAGATAATGCTAGAAAGAAAGGAGGCACAGGAATAAAAAAGGCAAAGTAAGTGAACTGTTATACACAAACCACTCAATTAAGTTCCTGACAGTTATCAATGTTCACATAAGGATATATCACTTGTTATCAGTTCCCTTGAATAAAAGGGCTAAAATGCAAATTCAAAACTTCCTGTTTTAAATGTTAAGACTTTTCAGAAGATTTAAAAAAAAAATCAGAATGTAGGAAATACAGAGAGTATAGCACTATTTAAGAAAAGAGGAAAATGCTTATAACTAAATCTATTCATTTATATTACAGAACAATATATAAATGCAGAACAAGAACAAGTATTGGTTTATTTAGATCTTCAAATTTACCTCATGAGCTACACGGGCTACTGTTTTTAGACACACCAGCAAGCACTACAAAACAGAAACATGGTTTTATCGTGGATTCACACTCTTCAAAATCTTAAGAAGTTCAAAGTCTAGGGCATAAAAATCTACAACTCCCAATCTGCTGTCATTATTTTATATGAACTGTAAACTCCCTGCCAAATTTGCCCACTCAGCTGTTGCCTTCTAGTGATCTGTGCTCAATATATGAGACAGACACATCTACTGAACATATTCTTCCAGGGTGACAGGCTGGGGCTCTTGTTTTCACAGCCCCTGTGGCCTGAAGCAAAGGATTAAAGGCACTTAACACCAGTCTGATTTAAAGCAGAATGCAGAGCCTAAATCTCTAGTTTGCTAAATACAATCTTCAACTTTGTGAATTTGTGAGCTTAAGACTGGATTACTTGAAAGGACAAATCAAGAGAGCAAAGTGAAGACAACAAAAAATGATACCCAGTGCAGTCTGTCACCCTCCTCCAGTGGCTTGTATCAGTTAAGGGATATTAAAGGAGAAAGTGGCAAACGGAAAGAAGGGCCCACACAGAAATTAGCTTCATGCTGCCTCAAAAAGAAAGGAAAAACTAAGGCTACAGGAAGCCTCACCTTTGCCCTAACACACTGATTTTACATAGTTACTGCCAAACTTCCTACCATTAAATAACTTAATGTCCTTTGAGGGTATCCCCATGAGCCTGACAACCATATCTAAAACCTGGGATTTAGAGTATGATTTGTCATACTAGAGTATGAAGAACACTCCCAGGAAGTGAAATACAGAAGTACACATAGAAGAGTGCGGATTGATTCTAATAGTTCCTTCTGTCACTCAGAAACAGAAAATTAATAAGTAAAAAAAAAAAAAAAAACCAACAATCCTGGAGTGCCAAATTCACGAGCTCTGACCAGATTTAAGAAATTTCTCTCTTGAGCTCTGTGACAACTACTTCTAGAAATCATTTCAATATGTATTTTAGAAAATCATCACTTCTAAAAATTAATTGATAAAAGAAAAATCTCTGTACATTATGTACCATAGCCCCTGACTAAAAACCAAAATAGCTCAGCTGAATAAATTGAGTTTCTTAGTTAATTTCTTATACTCATCCTCCTTCCTGACAGAAGAGTTAGGGAAGGAGGGTGTGGTGGCACGTGCCTGTAATCCCAGCACTTGGGAGGCAAGAGGATCACTTGTGAATTCAAGGCCAGCCTCAGCCACATTGTGAGCTCAAGGCCAGCCTGAATTACATAGTGAAATTCTGTCTCAAAACAAATAAACAAACAAACAAATCACAAGCAGCATTTGATTTAGTTCTCTGGCTAGTCTCAGTCCTTAGATTCTTTTATAGACTAGTCCTCATTCCCTTTCAATAGACCATAAAAACTTTCTGATCCTGGGAGGACTATTCTGATCCACCAAACTATTAAGACCTCTGGTCTTGCTTCCAAAAGAAATCCAATCCTTAGCATCCCTACAGTGCTTTTCTGAAGGCTCTTAAACATATAAATCTCTGTCTGAAGTTTATCTTCCTCCCTAGCAAGCACAAGGACATAGCTTAATATTCAATATAACTTTATTATATCTTTGAAAGGAGCAATCCCTCATTCTCTGGGGGATGTTTTGTCTTTCAATCCTCTTAGCTATCCTTCACATCAAAAGCAGTTAATTTTCCTTCACCTAAATCTCTATGGTAGAAATTGCCTACTTAGCATTAAGCATCAATTAGCAAAACACGGAGTGTATCTATTCATGAATATATATGCACAAGGGTATGCAGTGAATATACATATGTGGGCACAGACATTTAGACAAACACAATTACACAGCTTATAAAGAATGAACGGTTTCAATAATTAACATACAATTATCCTTATAATGTATAGGCACACTAAGATTTGAGCCTCTATATATGCATTTAGACATTACATATACATTATAATTTGTGAAATTTTACAAAAGCTTTGCTTTAGCTTTTACATCTACAAGATTTCTAACAATATTAGTTAAGTGTAACTCCTTTCTACGATTAGAAACGTTTAACAAATATATTTTCCTCTAGAGTGAATATCCAAAATTATGATCTAGTTATCCTTTTTGTTAAAAAAAAGTTTGGATCTTTCCCTCTAAATATTTTAGAATTTAAGCAACTGGAAATGGAAGCAACCGTGTCAGAGAACTATTAATTCTATGTGCAGCTAACTCTGACTTCACTTTACAAAATACTCTTAAGAACCTGCATTTTCCTTTAAGTTGTTCAAAATTCCAGAAAGCCCATGTAGGAGCTTTAAATTTTGCAAAGTATCACTTACCTAGTCCAGCTCTAGTGTTAACATGCTCAAAGTTTTATCAATAATAATAAAATTTAACAGAATAGACTTTAACACACAGTAGCAGGTTGAGAACAACTTATTTACATACACGTGCATTGATAGTTTGAAAGCAATACACCAGCAGTTAACAGCAATTATTTCTGAGTAGTGAGTTTCCAATAACTTTTTCTACTTCTCTGCTCTTCTCAGTCATCCCTATAAAACATTCTTCCTATTATTTGAGCAATAATACTACTGAGCAAAAAAAAATCTATTCCTATAATGATTCTACAAATACCAGAATACATGATGAATCTATCTATAAACATATGTACACCAAGGAACAGATTTACCATGAATCAGACAAAAACACAGGATTCAGTGGAAACTCAGTCAGTGAAAAACACCCTGGCCACCAGGACCTGTGGCCCAAAAGGCAGTGAAATCTAGAACAACACTCACATGGGCATCAACAAAGAGAGTCTGTATGCATGACCAGTGTATGTAACTGGCCTGGTCTCAGCATGTGCACAACCTGAAGCATGCATTCCATCACATATGTGAGGATTATGCAAGAAGTAATGTGATATTCTAATGAAATCTCTTATTCTCTTGAAAGGCTTTGCTGTGGGATACTGAACGATCTTTTGTATCCCCTTATCACTTTGAATAATCCTGATCTTTAATTACCCTCCTGGAAATCAGAGCAGAAGGCAGTAAGACTTGCCCAAAACAGCTCCATAGGGTTCAAAAATCTAAAGCATCCACCTTCAAGTGTGTTCTGGCATGTTTCTTACTCCTTTTTATACACAGTGTCTCAAATATAGAGGTTATAGGCAAACATCTAGGGTACTAGAACAACAACATCTACCTGTGATCAGACTCTTAACAAAAAGGTCACATTCCAGTACCAAAATCTCATACTGTGGAGATAGGAAGTGTTACCAGTACACAATAATGTTTTATTCTTACTAAGAATAAAGTATCAGTCCCTAAGTGAGATGTTTTTATTAGAGATTTACTGTGTGGACACATTGAATATAGTCACATACTGCACACTAACCCATAGACACCCCACAAAGATTTTCAAAAGCAGAGTGGTAGGACAGACGTGGACAGCTCCCCAACCCCCAGAAGTGCCGTACTCAGCTCTTAGTGCCTGTACTCTTGGGGTGCAGCTGGCATTGGAGAAAAGCCTCTCCATACCTATTCACCAGAGCTTTCCTGTTCCAAGAACTCTGCTTTGATCTGGGCAAACCCCACACTTACAGCCATAAATGCATTGGCACTGAGAAAGGCTGCTGAGGATGTGGCACTCCAGGTGTGGCTTTATTTGTCACTTCACCAGGTCAGCTATTTAGGCCTAGTCTTCTCCATTGGGTTGAAGCTCTGTTCACACCATCTTGGGTAACACATCACATTATTCTTCCTTATAAAAACAAACAAACTCAAGTGAGCATTCAGGGTCAATTCACCCTCCGAACATCTCTGTCTTCCCCTGTGATTTATGTGACACTTTAGGACCCACCCCCGAAATTTCCCCTTACGCTCAACTAAAGACAGACCAGATGCCTTCTTCCACTCTTCAGGCTTCCCCCTTTCTCACCTCTGCAGATAAGCACGGCCTCGGGATCTCAGCCTGCTGGCCACCACTGAGTCACCAGGAGCACAGCACTGCAGTACCTAGCACTACCCACCATCAACCACTGCCACGAGTCCAATTACTGCACTCTTCACATCCCACCCTACGAGGAAACTCAAGTGTCCCATAAGGCTGGGCCAAAAGGAAAAGTAAATATTTTCATGCTTATAATGCCCCCTCAACCAATGTGTCTGAAATGTATACAGTTCTAGAGAACAGGAGCTGGATACATTTGTTCCTAGTCAACTGTTCACAGTAGCCAGTTTCTAAAGGCATTTCTGGAAAACTACAATCCACTTTAATGCAACACACTGCCAAGTTTAAAATTCATGGCCAAAAGTAAAACTTACATTGCAGTAAGGCATCACACATTTCCTAACTGAGTGTGGAAGCAGGTACGAGAAATAATCAGGCCTCCTGAAGACTCAACAGAAAAGCTGTTTTACAGAACTCCTACAGTTTGCCTTTTCCTTTCCCCACCACATCTGCAAGTGTGGACCTTCTCAAGTTCAGCCGCCAATGGTCAGACTACAATCCTGTGCAATAAACTGACAGTCTGATTATTTACAAGCACACTGGACAACATGCAAAAGACTATCGTGGAAACAGAGTAAGAGTTAGAGCTAATACAGATAGGAATGAAAAATGGAATGCCTTATCAGAACTGAGGATTTCTATCTTCCCTGGATGTTACATCATTTGATACATATACCTGCACTGACATACACCACAGGGGCTTTTTGTTATAATCTGTTAGTTGGGTAATTTAGCCAGAGAATCTTATATAACACATTCCTGTTTTCAGTGTAGCAACATGTATGGCACTGCACTCATAAAATTCAGACTCTCCACGGCATGTCCCAATCATTCTCCCTTATAAGATTTCTATGTGGTTGATGAAAACACAGACACTACCACCAGCAATAATAAAAAAGAATCAGTAATCAGCTTTCTCCTATGTTCAAAAGCTAGCATCCTGTGGTATGATTTCAGAAAAACATTTCATTCTGATTTTAATAAGTGGTATGAGCCTAACCTATGGGAGAAAGGAGTCCAGTTTTCTAAGCCTAAACACACGTGAGTGAACTTGGGTCTTTCAGGACAGAGTACAGGAACACTATCCATTGCCTCTGCATTGGTGTGTTTTCAGACCAAACCCTTGCATCTGATTTCCTTAACAAAGAAACCAGAGATCCGCACTGCTCGTCTGGCCAGAAAGCACATAATACAGCTACATCTTAGGAACTTCTATTCATGCTAGCTCAACAAACAACGTGTATTATATAATGAATGAGTCTTTTCTATGAACGCTGCTAGAAAACACAGGCACTTTCTGCATAGTTTAAACCAGTCTAAGAAGCTGTTCCCTCTTGTGAAATCAAACATGTACCTGCTAACAGAAATTCGAACAGCCTATACTCTTAGATGCTTTTGTTATCACTCTAATGTTCTTGTTACTTGACAATAAATAATTTCAGTTAACTGCAAACTATACAGAGAACATTTACACAGCAGCCAGCAAGCACCTGAATGATGCTGGTTTTCAGCTCCATGTTCCCTGCGTTGCCTAAGAAATGGGGGGCGGGGGGGGGGAGACAGTGGGAGGAGGAAGAGGAGGGGAGAGAGAATCAGCTATCTATGAAATACTTACAGCCTCTGAGTCTTCAATTCCATGCAGGTACAAATTGTCATACATGGAGGTCTGAAAATCCAGAGCACCTCTTTTAAGGCAAAACAAAATTACTGCAGAAACCACAGCTAGGGCTAAAAGAGAAACGGCCTGTGTGGAAGAACTGCGCTTGTCTTATCAATTCCTGGGGATTTACCAGGCAAGATGCTATTCATTCACATCACACAGGGTGAGGTTATCCCCAGAGGCAGTCCAGACCTGGCATTTTATCTGCCTTCCCAATAAAGAGCATAAAAAGCAAAACCCTTCCTCAACCACAGACTGGTGACTGAGCTAGGAAAGCAGCTTCTGATTGGCTCGGCTTCCCTGCTTCAGTCAGCTGAAGAGCGTTCCCTGGGAGAGTGGAGGGTGACTCGGAGCATCCTACCCAGCAAAGAGCTGCTTCCTGTTTTGCCTGTATTATTAGTTCTACAATAAACACTCTCAGTATCCAAAAGGCTGCATGAAATGTTTGCAAAGGCAGACTATTAAGCACTCTAAACACAACTACCCATCTTCTTGATTAAATTCATAATTTGAGTGGGGAACAGAGGAGAGATACTATTTTCAGAGAATATTGTGTAAAAACAGGCAAACAGATACTAATCTCTATCCAACATCTCTACTTCACAGCTGTGATTTAAGTCAAAAGGGCAATAAGTCATACGGAATTTTTAACCTACACTGAAGGAAAAATAGCGCAAACATATGGTAAGATTTCTTGAGGGAATTTTTATAGCAAAAGTTTTCAATATTCCCACTGAAGTCTCTGCATCACTGGTAAGAAAATATCTTTGTTTCACAACTAGTGGAGCTTTAAAAGGGTGCAGAAAAACCTCTCTGGTTTTAACTGTAAAGTTGTTGAAGGACTTTTTAATTTGTTTGACCTCTTTTAAGTAACAGCTAATCATCTTAAATACATCATATGTTTTCTATGCATAAACCTTTAACAGTCCTAAAACAGGACTTGATCTTTTCTCCAAACTCTCCTTTCCTTCTCCCATCACACCACAGTTAGGTTGACTGAGGAAAGGTTGCCTGATATACAGTGTAGTCTCCCTTAGATACTTATGGCTTTCTGGTCAACCAACAATATACTGAAGCTTTGAAACAGAAGATCCCTACAGCTCATTCAGAAAAAAGCCAGCTAAATTTGTGGGGAAAAAATGTAGTTGTGAAGGGCAAAGAATGTAACCTAGAGAAAGTATATGAATCACTGGAGTAAGAAATAACCCAGAAACTCAAAGACTCTGAGCTTAGTATGAGCTTCACCACTAATTGGTCAGGTGACCCCGGTCCAGTCACCACCTTTGTGGGCTTTGGTTTCTTCACTTGCCAAACTGAGGAAAGAAATAACTCAGAGAAAGAACTCTACAAATCTGAAGAGCTACATAAAAACTTATCAGTGACAACCCTGATTTGTCAGCTGAAAGGCTGCAATTCACAGAAGCTCAACACAGGAGTAACTGAGTAAGCCTGGACTGAAGAAATGTGGTTTGCCCTTCTGGTTCGTTATCTCTGAAAAGCGTAAGTTTAGAGAAACAAACCTGAGTCACAAAATGCAATCGCAAGAGCTACTAATGCTGAGTAAAGTGCTTACTACCAGGTATGTGCAGACCTGATGTTTCTGTCATAGCTGCACACCCCAGAAAAGGCACCAATACTTACTTACTCACTTTCAAACATAACAGGTGACAAGGGGACTCAACTGTCCTTCAGGAGCCCAAATAGTAGACTTCATACCACATGTCATCTTTGAGGCTGTACCCACATAGAAGGAAAATGGCAGAGGAGTTTGGGTGCAGTTAAGAGGATTCCATACAAAGAATGCCCTCGTTGCTCTCCCTGTTGACAACTTTGTGTGTTGGAGCAAGTGTGGAACCTCACTATCCCCACTCCACATAGCAAGCAGACTAAGTCAAAATATTATTGCTCAAACTCATGCATCAGGCTGTTATTACTGTTTTTGTTTTGTTTTTGAGATGGGGTCTTGCTATGTAGTTCAGGTTAGCCTTAAACTCACTATATAGCTTAGGTTGGCCTCAAACTCACAGTGATGCTCCGCCTCAGCCTCTGAAGTACTGAGATTACAGGCACACACCACTACCCCCGGCTCCAGACTCTGTTATTTTAATCAACTCTCTACAGCCATACAATGTTTTAGCCAAAATCTACAGAAAATTGAGACAAGGGGGTTTTTTTCTCCTTAAATTCTCCAGATTATGTCTTTACTTTGCCACTTCAATTGAGATTACAATATTTCCTGATTATTTTAAAATGAGAATAAATTAAAGGGAAAAAAGAGGCAGTCCACTTGAATAATTCACCAAAATGAGAAAAACTATTCCCTGGTAGGAAAAGCATATGTGGTTCAATTGTTATTCTGTGCTAGGCTGCCTTGGAGTGCTCCCTGTACTTCATAGGAGGGTCTAAAGGAAGTTTTTAAAAAAAGGATTTTTAAAAAAAGCTTGTTTTATGATACACTAATGTGCACAGAAAATGAGTGTGACTCAGGATGGGAATGTTCACAGGGAGGCAATGAACCAATCCCAGGCTGCTATAGCTGCCCCTGTAAACCTGCACCCAGCTCCTTAAGGATAAGAACAGATGTACGACAGGGGTAGTCTGTCTTCTCTGCTTCCCAGGAACATAGAAAAATGCTAGACTGACTGACTGACTGCTAAGGACCTCCAAAAGAAACTCACCAAGTCCAGTCCTTCTGATAACCAAAAAATAAATTGCTTTATTCAAAGCGACATATTCTACACAATTTGAATGTTCATTCCTCACTGCACTCTTGATGCATCTTTCAAAAGAAGAGATAAGAACGTGCACACTCCTCAGGGAAACTTAGAGAAATAAAGCTCACCATGCTGGGGAACATCCTGGTCTTTCTCATTCTTTCCATCCTAAAAACTGTCTAATCAAAATCATTTGTTTACTCACAAATACAAATGACAGCTAAAAATTAAATAACAGACTGATCCTAGAGTCTGATCCTAAGGTCTGGATGTACACAGAATAAGTGCCACATTCACCTAAAGGTTTCAACCCAACACTTGAGCTGATCCTAGAATTCCAGAGGAAACTCAGTGAGATTCAGTTCTGGGTCTCCCCACAAAAACTTTGAGAGTTCCCGGAAAAGTGAACTCAGAACTTTAGGAACTGAACATCTCTATCCTAAGAGCCCTAGAAGTATTGAAAGGTCTCTGGAAGCCTCACTATTTCAGAGCCACTTCAATATTTCAGCTTTTGGTAAAAAGGCATAGGGATTCCACTACATTAAACCCCAAGGGCCAGATTTCAAAGGGACTGTATCATTTCACTGCAGCAAAAGGTGAAAAGCAGGAAGGGACTAGCACTGTATTGCTTTTGATCATAAGAATTAACCAGTTGAGGGTTGGGGATGTAGCTCAGCCGCATAAGCATCTGCCTGGCAAGCGTGAGGTTGAGGTTGTGAGTTTGATCCCCCAGTACCAAAAAAAAAAAAAAAAAAAAAAAAAGAAAGAAAGAATTAACCAGTTGAGTGATAGTGATTGGAATGATGAAAGAGAAACCACCCTCTCCCTTGATCTTCTTTATCCTCCTCAGACCAAACTAGAACAAGTCAGAAAATTCAGTTGCCCAGTAAGTCAGCTACTGCTCATCACTAAGATGCCTCCAAACCACACACCTCAAGGAGCCTGCCTCCAATTCTGAATTGCCCTCTTCACTGTGTTTCTGATCTGTATCCTTTCAAGTCATCTCTCATTACAATCAATGATTCAAAATCAAAAGACCCTATGAAAAGGCATCATCTGTATAAGTTTGTATCTATACCTCTCCCATGTTTCTTGGTAGGAAGATGGCTCTTACAGTTGGACGAATCGCCCCAGTGAGCTCAATTCAAGGAAGGAAATGAGTTGGCTCTCAATAAAACAGGAAAAATTACTTTGTTAGTCTTTGCCATGTCTGATTTCTGAAATAAGGATCCCCTTTTACCATTCTGTAGTACAGCAAATCCATGGATATGACCGTGGAGTACACAGGAAAGAATTTGTTTTCCACACACTTGGAAAGGGAGAGGAAGACAGATAGAAAAACCAGGAGTGAGGTGATCACCTATGAGTTGTAGAAAGCCATAGTCAAAACGACAGGTGCAGATTTAGAAACAAATGGGAATTTTGCTAACCAATTTTCCGCAAGATTTCTCTGGAATTTTAACTCTTCTAAGTCAGTGCAATTACGTATTCTCTAGCAGGATTCTAAGAGGCCAAAGAAGAGGAAAAAAGAAGTGTGGACTTGGCAAAGACTAGCCTTCTTTTTGGCTGCAAGCTACAACGTAAGCCCAAGGTGTTTGTTTGCCAATTCAGCCTCAAGAATTATTTCACTCTTAGATTTTGTTTCATTTTTACTAAATGACTACAGCATACTAGATGATTGCTTCTCTTTTGCTTTGCAAATTCTAATCCACTCCTTCACCTTGAGAAATTTGTGCGGCACTGTGAGTACAAATAACATGCCCATTCCTCTTTGATGCCCTTTAGACAGGTGGTGGCAAGAGGGCAAAGGAATGAAAACAAAACAAAATCAATAAACGACAGGTTCTACGTCTAGTATTCCTCTGCTACCATCCTTTGAGTCTCAGTTTAGACCTCACTACCTGGGCAATTGTGTCCTTAAGACTCTCTGGGTCTCTTCTGTAACATGGCAAGAAATGATAATTTTTAAATGAATGAGTTAGTATGTGAAAGACAGAGAAGGCAGAATAGAAGCAGTGACCTTTTATGTTTATGAGAAGTACTGCAGACCAGGCTCCCTCCCGCACACACACACACAGTGCATTCTGGGCAAAAGGCACTCGCTGGCACTCTGCAATGGGAATTCTATGGGCAGAGTGGTTAAGAGCAGGGACCGCAAAGCCAGACTCCCTGCTGCGTCAGCTGGGCCATTTGTTGGGTAACACTCAATAAGCTATTTTACCTTTCTCTGCCTCCTCACCTCATTTATCAAATGAGGATTATATCAACTTTCTTGTGTAAATTTGGATTCAGGCCTGACCTCAAGGTAACCTTTGCCTCAGGGTGGGATTCCTGACATCTTCCCCTGATGCAGGCCCGGTCCTCTCAGTCTCCACCTGGGCCCTGGTCTCAGCATCTTCCTGCCTCCGCTGCCCTACTTAGCTTCCTGCCAGCTCCTTCTGGTTGCCTACCTGCTTTATCTGACCAGACTGGCTACTCCTTATGCTAATGCTGGCACACTTGTCCAGACCTCCTCTGCTCCTGACAACAATTCC